CAGGAAATGATAAGTATGACCCTCAGCAATGCCTTGGAATTTGAAGAGTCGCGGTTCTGATACTGATAATCCTCCAAATAATAAAGAAGTCCAATCAATGATGAAGTGGACTTACCCAATAATGAAGAGCTCCCAAGGGAAGCAACCCCAGAACAAATCGATATAGGTCAAACGGATGGAGTACGAGAAACTTGTCACTCTACAAGGACTAGACCCACTATTAATAGGTATGCTCCTACCTCAAAATAAGGAGGGAGGAATTGTAATGTATTAATCATTGGTCATATGTTATTACTATTATTGTTATTGTTATTATTATTGTAGTTGTTGTGTATTGTATTTATGATTTGTATAGTTATTATTTAGTGTTTAGTTATTAGTAGTTATTGTTATCCCTATTATGTATACACTGCACTGTCGACTTTTTATTCATGCAATTGTAATTATAACATAACTCTTCAACTGCCAAAGAACCCTGCCGTATAGCTGCCTCAAACACTCCAAGATATAACAATTTCAATGAATCCTCAACAGTTGATAATGTACAAGGATGTATCCTCTTAACATACCATGTACATGTACATCAATATGTATCAGTAAAACATTGGAGTGATTTCAGAGCCAAAGTAAAATCCCTAATTTCACAGTTGCATATAATACATGTAAACCATATGCCTCACTAAAGTAGATCCACACTATACAGTATTACATTGAATTATGGTATAATTACTAATAAATATTATTATTCTCTTATTCCTTAACTCCAAATGGTTGCCAGTTATGAGGAGAGATGATGGAGAGATTGAGTCCTTTTCATTTGATATTAGTAAATGTGATCATGTTGATATAGCTAACTCACTGTGGGGACTATCAACAAATGGAATCACTGAAGAACTACTAACTAGTGAAACTAAACAAAATTAAATAAATGTATATTTATAAAAATTCATTAAAAAAGTTATTACATAGCCGGTAATTTTTGCAGGATTGCAATTACAAAAATAAAAATTGATACGAAGCTTAGAAATTAAATGAATCCATTCAGTCAATCCTATTACCAATAAGTATGTCTAAGTTCAAGCTTTATTTGGTGTATTTTAATTTGCATTCCCGAATCTTTTTCAACCTACAATATAATAAATGGTATAAGTGATGAGGTATTTAATTAACTGATAGTACATGTACATGATGATACATGAGGTTTACTGACCTTGCTTCCTCTGCCTCTTGTATTTCTGATCTCTCTTTATCAGTTAACTCTTTCATTCTCTCTCTCTTGTCTCTAAATAATTATAAACAGTAAGAGGTGTATGTAAGTGTGTGTGTATACATAATGTGTGTGTGTTCATTAATACTTATAATATATGATATATCCATCAACATATAGTCCTAATGAATATGGTCTGTCTGAACTGACGGAATACCAGTCCAACGTATTCTCAATATCTAGACATGATATCTCAACTGGAAATGATTGATCCTATAGTCAGAGAGAGAGAGAGAGTATCTTTAATATGTTTTAATGACTAACCTTTGTACAATAGATATGCTTAGCAGGAACTCCACTTAATTTTGACAGCTGTAAAGGAATAATATAATGTGATACTGATACATGTTCTCTATTATGACACTTATGATTATTCCAAATAATACACATACCTTTCCAATAAAATGCTTAGGATTATCATTATCCAGTATAATTTCTTCTATTGGATCAACTGAACATTGTGATGGATGCCATCTTATAACATAAACCTGTCTCTGTCCATAATGCCTCGTCTTCTCTGGTCCTGATACAATATAATTAATATACACATGTACTACTAACATTAAACTTGCATCATAAAAAGTACAGCACAATATACTAACCTTTTAATGGTTCCACATACATTTCCCTACTAGCATCAATTAACTCACGATCAACAATTACTGTACCAGGGGACATTCTCCTCTTCTCACGTAGTCTCATTCTACACAATGAGTCACATGATAGTCACATGATGTACTTACTTGTCTAATTCAAGGACACAGTCAATTCCTTGTACTTTTGCTTCTTCAATAATTTGTTTCTTAAATTCTCTCACTGTTGTATCCTTAGTAACAATAGACTCCATCATAAAATTACAAAACTAAAGAAAAAATAAAACATAAATTACTGTAAAGAGCAAAATTTTCGAAGGCTGTAAAATTTGCAAATTTGCCTAAAAATATATTTTGCGGATTTAATTTTTGCGAATTTATGCCGACTGCAATCTTGTACCGTAATAATTTGATTTTCACTGAAGTAATTTTTGTGAATCTTCAACAAATCACAAAATCTCTGAAATTTACAGCCCTCAAAAATTTTGCGCTACCGTAGATCCGAAAATTTTCGTTGTTAAAATATTTTCGCAGTTGAAGTGACCTGCGAAGTTTTAACACACAAAATATTTTCTACAATGAATAATAAAAATACCGGAATTATTCTAACGTGCAGCGGTGCATGCACGAGGCTCTTCTAAAAGCCCGACGAAGGCCTGAAGCTCTCACCTAAGAGGCCCCTTGTCAGTTTCAGTGATCTCACGAGCAACTTTCATAGAATAGCTGTCCATCATCATCAAGAGTTAGTAGCCACGTGACCAGTTTATGACGCATCTAAAATTTTTCAAGTTGAAAAAAATTCGCGGATCGGTCAACCAGCGAAAATAAAACACCTTGAAAAAATTTCACGCCAATTATTTTTAACATGAAAATTTCCCGATCTACGGAATATGGTGATCATAATAATTAATATTCTATACCTCTGTATTATTAACTTGTAATAAATATAATTTAATTCTTTTCTCTCCTCTTCTTAATCCTCTACCCAGTCTTACTATCAACTAGTAGATACACAAAGTAATAAAGAGATGAGTGCGTGTGTGTATAATAGACTTTTTTAGTTATTATTACTTAGAAGATAATACACTAAACTACTGTACCTCTGATCCAGATTTAGTACTTTTTAATGTCATATCCAGTCCTTCCATTTCATAATCTTTATCATACCCACTGATCTCACACACTCTAAAACCAGTAGGTGGTACCCCAATCAGTGGAACTAGCTCTTCCTTTAATTGAGCTAATGTTATTCTACGATCAACTTGTACCTGTATCTCTGTATTGAATAATATAATATTAATAGTGATCTTTTATTATAATACAAGTTAATATTTACTTCTTTCTTGTCCTTTCTCTTCATCATTTATTGATATAATTTTCATCATTATTCCTCCTTCAGTTACATTAGTTGTAGTGGGTGTGGCTTCAGGTCCAGGCGGTATTGTAATGTTCAGTCGTATCGGGTTGTTGTGAAAATCAATAATCCTGTACATCAAACTATCTTTGAATTCTTTTTGATAATCTTCAGGATCTGATGACACATACAGCAACTGAGTGTGTGTGCGTGTGTGAGGTGATAATAAGTTTTATTACAGCATAATGCTGGTACTTGTATTCTGTAGAGTATCTCCTTTAAAGTGCCTCCTGCATTACTAACATCACTAATATCAGTATACTTCTCCATTACTATCCTCATACATGATGAATTCATATTAAATAACTAAATAAAGAAATGGACCAGATCAATGGAAGGAGATCAATATAAATGACAGTATATCCTTCCTCTTACTTCTCCTATATGTTGTTTTAATTCTTCAACAGTCCAACCTAGCTGTCCTCTCACTGGTTTAGCAGGTCCTAATTCACCACTTGACAAATCAACCACTGATATTTTTACTACTCATCAAACACATGTATATGTAGTTAGCGGTATTGTCATGGTAACAAGCTACACCCACCTCCAGCATTGTATTTCCTAAAGGTTTCATTTTCTTCACGAGTTTCTAAGAATAATGCAAAAGAATAATGTCTAGCTCCACCTATAACCTGTCCCATAGTTTGATGTTGAAACTAAATTTAATAATAATCAAATATAATCGTAACAATAAAAGATTGATAAAGCTTACCTCATCAAGATCAAGGGACTGCTCCATTACTTTATACCAATGATTATATTTAACTAAGCGACATCTCTCAATAGGAATATAAGGAGCAAAATTCAATAACTGATGAATATATGAATCAATAAATAGAAATAAATCAACTAATAATAATACTAAACCTCATAAGCTTTATCCAGTACACTGGGTAGTAATTCATCTTGATGTACTTTTAAAAATGAAATCATTAATTCACCAGTAACAGGATGATTATAATATAAATCAATCTATACAATGAAACTAGTATTATATTTAGTCAATCTCACTCTTACTCCACACATTTTTTTTTGTTTCTTTTCTCTTTGTCTTTTCTCCTCAATCTCTTTCAAAAGATCTATTCAAATATCAACAGTCAAATGATGACACACATCATCAATAAAACCTCTAATATCTTTTATAATCTCCTCAGTGTGTTCTCTTTCAGTCATTAATTTCTTATTTGTTAATATTATTTTTTCATGTAATTTCTCTATTATTCTTTCATTATCTACTAATGGCTGATAGTCTGGTCTTGTCATTGCTTCAAGATGAAACTTGCAGTCATCAATTTCAGAATCCATTTCTTTTCTCACTCTGCTAGCAGCTTTAATCAATTAATATAATTATTAGTATAATAAAACTACTCTAACCTGAATCAGTATTACTAGTAAGTGATCTCAAGTACTCAACCTTCATTTTTGATAATTTGTCTGACAATTCTTTGTTTTCTTTTTGTATCTCATTAAACTGAGACCTCAATACAGTCAACTCTTCATAAAGTGGCTCTTCCTATTGATAATTATTATAATTAAAATAAAATAGTGAGATATACTTCAACTTCTTTAATTGATTCAGTATCACTTTGAACAACCAATGATTCTACCTACATGTATTAATCAAAATACTATGCATTTATGTGAACAACATGATCAATTACAGCAACCAAAATTCATGGACAATTAAAGTATGCAGCAAGGAACTTAATAACCTTCTAACCTCACCATTGATATTTCTTGTTTCAATTCAATTCTTTCCTACAAGTACAACATTAGATTGCATGGTCTGGCACTCTGGTAGTATGACATACCTTCTCTTTGCTACTGATAGTATCTTTTAGTTTATATTCAGCTTCTTCAAGTATAATATAAGAAATAACCTGTACATATAATCAACACATTACATCAATCAACTGAACACAGTGTTACATTGCACAGGTACTATAAGGTAATAATAAAAGGAATGATTATATTAACTGACCCCAGTGTGTTGTAGTAAGTCTTGATCCTTTTCTCTTAGTTCCTATACAATACAATATTCATAAAAAATATTCAATTATTCATATTATGTACCTTTTGTCTAACATCTTGTCTCCTCCATAATGTTAAGTTACCAACAGTCAGTTTCTTTAATCCTTGTCCCATTAGTATATGAATATTCTCTATCATCCTCAATACAGTAAACCCAACATCAGAGAAAGGAAAGGAGCAACTGACACATATTGAATTGGTTCGTTTTATATACTCAATCTGCAGTAATTTACCAGATGCTTTTGCAAGAAGGTCCTCAATATCTTTGAGTACATGTTCCTCAGGCTTCCAGTCAAGGACAAAAGTAACTGTCTGACAATGAAGATGAGGAATGGAAGAAAACCTTTCCTCTAAGCAAAGACAAATGGAGAGCGACTTGCAGAATTCTTTTAACTCTGTTTTATATGTTTTAATGTGTTCATCTGCTTCAGTGAGCTTCATTTTATTCACAACACTATGAAGGAGTGCAATATTAGTCAGTGAACATTCATTTTGAATTAGATGCAAGAGGCTAGAAATATCATGACACTTCTTCACTTTTTCACTAAGAATTGGGCTACAACAAGACAGGAATTTTTTGATTATTTTAAGAGAACCACGCTTATTTTCAATAACTATGTTAACATTGTAAATCATCCTTCCATAAGACATTCTCATTGAGGTAAAGTTCTCCAGTAAGTATTTAGGAACAGGAACACAAACGGTATGGCCTAAAATTTTTGTGGTACAAAATGGATAAATATTTTTTAATAACAAAATGTATTAATTATTACCTTGTGAAGCTATAACATGATCTTTTTTAGTCTTAGGAACTATACCCACTTCAGGAATAGGAAAATACTTGCCTAAACACATAAAGATCAGTGTATTAACAACACAACATAATGTAATGACACCATTATTATTATGATACTCACTAATATCATCCAGTATAGTTTGTCCCAGTGATACATTAGTACTGATTGTACACAATACATTAGCAAATGTATGTAAACTGTTGGGATCAGTTTCAACAGCTTCTTTGACAGCAGTTAATAGAGCCTCACGTTGATTAGGAATAGAGGGACTAGCTGACACCACTCTACTAACTGTTTCTTGTGTTAACATGCGTTCAGCATAAAGTAACCAAGCAATACTAACAGGATCACAAAGAGACTGGGACAGGACAGTATGACAATTAGTAAAAATATCAATAAGAACCTGATGTTCTATGATAGAAAATACAATGATAATAGTCACAGTACATACAGTTATGGTTGACTCACTTAACTTCTCAGCTACAGCAGTTTCATTCATAGATCGTAGAGCATCTGACAGTGAGTTCAAGTTGGCTCCTCCTCTACTGTCAACATTATCAGCTCTACCTAACCATTGGGAGAGGCACTCTGTCATACAGCGAGATACATCATGAGGATGATTCTTTTCAATGACGTCAAGTGTACTTTTCTTTAGTCCTAGTCTCAGTCCAAACTTATACCATTTTGTTTCTGGGAAGCAACATTTCTCCAATAAACAAAGAACATAATCCAAGTCACCAATATCTAGGTAAAAAGTAAAATGGCGGATTTCACTGACATCAATCAACTTTACCTAAACAGGTTTGATTAGTGGCCATAGTTCTATTAAAAGTAGCTGCTTCAAAGCAAGAGCCTCAGAACAAGATTAATACTGAACAACAACGGCGAGGCGAGATCAGTTAGTCTCGCGTAGCCAGACCACACCCTCCGTGCCTCCGGGATGGGTCTGGAAAACTGACCGTATCAAAGTTGTTCAAGGCCCCACCGTTAACATGGTGGGGGAGGGACTCTTCATCCAATGAATTTTAATTTATTAGCAATAAATTTTGATTATTATTAGATTATTATTAGATCGCCTAGCAACAACGCCTGACTCAGTGTAGGCAAGTTACCCTTCCCAGGGCTTTTTACTTCACTGTTAAGCGCTCATAGCTTTAAAGTGACTTGTTTTCATTTACTTTAATATCTATGATAAAATGGAACTTGGTTCAGAAAGGCTGATGGAGATTATAGATCGAGTTTCTAGGCACTTTGGAGTTGTATTTAAAGCCTGAGAAACAAGTGGATGCCGTTCAGTCATTCATGACTGGACGTGATGTATTCGTTTCTCTGCCAACTGGATATGGAAAATCATTAATATACGGTTGTTTACCATTTGCCTTTGACATCCTTAAAGGTAAGATAATTTGCAATAATTATTAAGCCATCTACAGCGCCATACAATATAGATTGTGTCCAAGTGAAGTAGTTTTTAATGTATAGGCTGTTCTTATTGAATGGTATTCCAAAAAATGGTTTTTATTAGTGTCAATCTTTTTTGTAGCACAAGAAGGCAGTGTGGTTGTATGTGTGAGTCCTCTGATATCTCTAATGATGGACCAGAAAGCAAGATTTACACCTAAGGGTATTGATGTGGAGTTTATTGGTGAGGATCAGAAATGTATTCGTAAGGTGCTTGCTGGTGATGTTCAACTGGTCTATATTAGTCC